ATGTATATTTTATTTAATGAAAATTTTTAAAACTTTTTTTAAAATATACTTAAATTATTTTTTTATTAAATGAAGGATACGATTAAATATCATATAATATATAATTTTATTTTGAGTTAATATTATTATAAAAGAAATATTTTCATAGCTTATTAAAACATAAATAAATTTTTTTTCAATCTTAAAAATTAACAAATATATATCCGTAAGAGGGCGTTATATGCGTAAATATGTAAGTATCATTTTAGGAAACCGGAATGATGATTGGATAGCGCTTTTTTTATATTTGGGTATATATACATATGAAAAACCTAAAAATTAAAAAAAAATTTTAGGTTTCTTTGATGTTTAATTTATGAGTAGGTTTAGAATAGTAAAATAATGGAAATTTTCTAAGGTAAATATTGCTGGCGTTATTTATCAAAATCTCTTAATTTTTGTTTTATATGTGTATATTTACGTGCTAAGCATTATCCTAAAAAATTTTTGGAAAATATTATGATTTGACCGAATGCCAAGCTTAAAACCGACCACTTACTAAATATTCGATTGACCAAATTTACTAGTAATACAATTTGAAAAATGTTGATTTTCGTTTTATGTATCTATAAATACGTATAAAACATAATCCCAAAAAATATTTTTAAAATATCGCTATTTGGCGGATAACCGACTCAATGGCTAAATACTGAATTGCTGGCTTTTTAAATCAAAATATCTTAAATTTTGTTTTATGTGTATATATACGTGATAAGCATTATCCTATTTGCCGGCTTGGCTCAGCCGTTTAGCAACATTAACACTAATCTCAAATAAATAAATTTCGCCTCACGGCTTGAGCCAACCAGCGGCTTCTTTCTTTCTTTCTTTCAAATATAAGTAAAAATGTGTATTTATTTTTATACATCTCATTCATATTTTGGACCACACATAAAAATTCACTATGCTTAGTATTAATTTCACATAGGAGATATTTTCCCATGACCTTTTAATCATTTACATATATTTTTTAAATAAATCATAAATGACTCAAAGGTTTATTGCAAGAGTGTATACAATTTATAAGATAGGTATTCCAAACATGATAGAATATATTTCCGGTCAAATCCGATTTTTAAAGATGCGCTCAAAAATTGTTTTAAATTTGTAAAAATAACACATTGACGCTAACATATATAACAATAAAGCCGGATATATAATTATATAGATCTTTCTACATAGTAGGCCTATTCAAAAATAATTCGAAACGATTAATAAATTATTTGTTTTATCTGAATACGAATAATCATTTATTCGATTCGAATAAAACGAAATATTCGAATAAACGAATTATTCGTAATATTTAATAAATTTTAATAAAACGAATTATTCGAATAAACATATTATTCGTAATATTTAATAAATTTTAATAAATCTAACATTTGTCATTTCTATTTGTTGACCTGCCAATCTGACAGGTGATGTGTTTATAAAAATTCTAGCACAAATTTAAAAATTTCTGAAGTGATAATTTAAATTTTTATTTGCCACATTTTTTGAATCTCACGAAAAGTTTATTTTTTGAATCTCATAATAAATTATATTAAAAATTACACAAACTAGAGGTATATAAAAATATATTACATCTCTAAAATAATTATTGTTATCTAGCCTAATTATGTTAGAGAATGTTTCTGATGAAATTATGCTTGATGTTGAAGATGAGAAAATTTCCTCACAAAAGAGAGCAATCATATGGGATCAGTATCAAATCCTTAAAGACGGTGAAAAGGCTGCTTGTAATCATTGCAAGAGTATTATAAAATGTAAAGGCAAAACAACATCTCCTCTTATTAATCATTATAATATGTTTAATTCACACCTTAGTAAAAAAAATAATAAAATTGACATTTTTTGAAAGTCTACACCAAATTCTTCAAAAAGAATTAATTTTAAGGATAATTTATTAAAATTATTTATAAATAATAATATACCTTTTAAAATTATTAATTCAAATAATTTTAAAAATTTTATAAGTGATTTTGATTGTTCTGTAAAATCAATATGCTCCATTATTTTTAAATTGCACATGTGTAATACATTTGCAGAAAAAAAACAGTTGGTAAAGGAAATAATATCTAAAAATAAAAGTCAGATTAATTTTTCATCTGAAATTTGGACTATCCCAACACAGGTTCCTTTTTTAGGGCTAACAGCCCATTTTATTGATAATTTTAAAATAAATAACATAATTTTGGATGTCAGTCCAATAAATGACACACATTCAGGTGAAAATATATTTAAAGCCTTTGTCAAAATAATTAAAAATTATAATTTAGGGAATAAATATTTTTATATAACTTTAGATAATGCAACTAATAATAAAACATTTATTGATACATTTTCTTTAAAATATCCATTAATAAAAATAGGGCACATCCGATGCTTTGCCCATGTAATTAATATAATATCCAAAGAAATTTTAAAAATTTTAGACCCTTCAATTCTAAAACTAAGAAACATTATTAGAATGATTCGTAATTCCCCTAAAAAATTAAATTTATTAAAAAATATGTAGTTCCCTACCAGCGTCTACATGAGCGGGAGGGGTATGAACAGTTTGCATCCTATTTTTTAAGGGGGTAGGCGGCTTTAATGGGGGTAGGATAAATTTTTTGGGGGTTTATCTATTGAATTTTGAGATAAAATAGGACAAAATTTATTGCTGTAAAAATTAATAATTTTATTATAGAACTATTATAATACAATTCATCGACCAAATCTATATATTGCAAACAATCATACACATTGTTTTCCAAATTAAACTTTCTGCTATCCTTTTAAATTACTTTTAAAGGTTTCGATATTTCAGCAAGCTCATAAAGTTATAATAATGAATTCATTGTAAATAACGGAGGATTTAATTGAATTTATTATCTAAAAAATAAATCCTTTATATTCACAAAATATCGATAGTTGTTAGTAGAGATAGATTAATTTAAGTTATCCTTTATAAATTCTCTGAAAAGAGTATCATTATAATTAAAAAGGTGAAAATAATAATGGGGAAATATCGCCGTGGAAGGTGGTGGGATTTTTTAGGGGGGTAGGTAAAGGTTTTCGAAGGGGGTTTGCATCCAGTGAAAATCCTGTCATGTAGACGCTGCCTACACCCTCCCCTAAATTTTTTAAAACCAAAATTGGATTGTGAAATAAGGTGGAATAGCACCTACCAAATGATTCGGATAATTCAAATCGAATACAAATCGTAGATTTCAACGAATTCAAATTATTCGATTAACGAACATACTAATTCATAAATTTATGATAATATATTAATTGATGTATTTTCTCCACTAATGTCTTTTGTAATGCTGAATTGGTATTAAAGCCAGGTGGGAATTTTTTAAAACTTAAGATGCCAAAATGAATAATATCGAGCAATATCCGATATTTGAAAAAATAGATTGCCCGATCCGATAAATTCCTATTAGAACTTTAGAGGTATTTATTATTTTTAGATACTTTTTTTGCATTTTGGTATAAATTTAATTTTGCGTTTCTATATTTAAATTAATATTTGCAAAATCATTTAAAAATATGTCTTATTACATTATAAAAATAAATCAAAAAAATTATATTATAATTTATTTAATCTATAAGTTTAAAAAAAATAAATATAATTTTTAGATCAATATTTCTAGACAAACTCTGAAATCAAATAATTTAACATTAGATTTTTTGAGGGCAATCCTTAGACGGATATTAATATAAGTTATGTCACATCAAATTATGAATAATTTTTCTAAAAATGAGTGACGAGATTTTATTATATTTAATGATTATAACAATATAAAGATTCTGCTGTCAAGTGCTCCAGTATAAAGAGTTGTGTGGCTAAAAATGTCTTTACAGATAAATGGGGGTGCCTTAATAATAAAAATTTTGAATTTTTTATTATTAAAATTTAACTACCCAGTTAAAGTCTTGCGAGCTAATTTGACATTGCATGTTATTTTATAACAACTTAAGAATTCTAAATGACAATTTGGCATTATAAATATAATAAATTCAATCGTATTTTATTAATCATGGCTAATACAAACTTTTGCTTGTATTTTTATCACGTTTTAACTTTTCGTCTTTATATTCCGATTTTGGCCAAATTATAAACGTTCTATTTTTTTTTAGTTTTTATATAATATGCCTTCTATGAATAGTGGATTACACATAGAATCTGACAATATTTATTATGATAGGCCAGCATTCTTATTCTTAGGAATATTATCTTAGTATTTAGGCGCCCATAGATGCCAAATGGAATTATTATTTTTTAATAAATACATTGTAAAATAAATTTAAGCTAAAAATATTTTGGTCATTACTACCTTGTAAAATAGCTAATTATTGAATTATATCACATACTTAATTAATTTAACTACTAGTGAGTTCTCCTCTTGATATTGTGGACACATAAAATAAGCAAACACTGTGATCACATGTATTCACATCGTTTTTCCCTTTTTTAAACATATTTTTCCTTTAATTTTTTTAGAGCATTGACCGCATTTAACAGGTCTAATACTACTCCGGTCAATAGATTGAATTTGATTATTGACCGACTTGCCAACCCTGTAAAAATGTGTTAATTTATGCTTAATATATCGATGCTGAAGCAGAGATGAAAAAAGTTACAAGGATTACCAGATGTGGTCTATATGGATCCAAACTACATAAAAACCATTCAAACCCATGAACTACCAAGCAAAATGGGAATTATTAATCTACTAAAAGATCCAGATAAAAAGATAGAAAAAATTTTGACCAGTAACGTTTTCTTTTTATAAATGAGTGATGTATGCATAGTGCCACATAAGAAGGGTTACTCCAAACAATAATTTGACCAATTTACACGATACCTTTTGAAATGCAATATTTGGATACGCAACGCAGCGTTTGAAATGCTAGACCTGATTCTTCGTTTATTGATGTTAAATTCCCAAATAATTTTTTTTTTTTTAAAAATGGCGATATAATATAATTATAAAATAATTAACATGTTCCGTAAATTTAGTTGATTTCGAGATGCAGAATTGTTTATAAATAAATATAGTATTTAAAAACTTTAAGGGAAAAAATATGGAAATGTTGTTTTCAAATCTGTTTCATTTTTTTTAAGATAGAAAAGTAAATATTTTTTTCGTTCTGGATCACCTGATTCTTAATAACCGATTTTGCTTTTTATTGCACTAGATATCCACTCTCTAATAATTTACATATATAATCTTGATGAAAAAATTTCCTATTTTCAATGAAGTGTATCGTGCGCAGATTGACTGAGGTCTAGTTGTGACAGTTGAGGGTGAGAGGAAGATGAAATAACCTGGAGGATGGAAGGTAACGATTGTTCGTGTATAATTCTGAAGCTTCCATTGGAGAAATTATTATCGTTGTTGTTATTCGAAAATAAATCTTGATTGACTTTTCGTTTCGAGGAGTATGTTAACAAAAAAAATATTAATATAATGAATTTTTTAAAATTGAGTACACTTATTATAGGATAAATATATAAATCTAAGAGGATTAGTTTACCTGAGGGCGTATTCATTAAAATATTTAGGTCCGACTCGTCTTATTTTTGTTTAGACCAATCTCAGATTTGGAATTAGGACACCCACTATTCCATTTCGTTCTAAGTGGGTACTAAATCTCAAAAGGCTTTTTTTAAGAAACAGATTTCCTAAGACTCGGAAGAGGTTGGGGGAGGTCTGAAGTTTTCCACCCAATCTTAAATAGGATTTTGATAAACATTAAAAGAAAAAAAAGTGGCGCTAAAATTTAAATTCTTGCGGGTCATAGCTTGTCGTATTAATTTTCGTAGCGAAAGTTTCAAAAAAAACAACCTTTATTATCAAATTATCATTTTGGAAGATTATTGCCCATATCGATAATACGAAGGCGACAATTTAATCGTTTGACACTTATAAATTAGGGATGCTAACAAATAATAAAACTTATTTTATCCTACTAGATGTACCGAATCCATTTTTTTTCCTTCGGCCCCCTGATCCTAAAAGATGAAAATTTAAGATGTCACAAAAACGCTTTTACGCGGATTGAGATGGGATTAAAAATCCCGATTAAACATTATGCTTAGATAGAACCCGGCAATAAAATACTAAACTTTTTTGTTTCTAATGATCCATTCCATACGAATTCAGCCTTGTGGGAGGCTATTAGAAAGAGTATATTATTTACTAAATAATGTCCAAATTTGTAAATTTAAAAAAAAAGAAGTAAAAAGTAGTTCTGGCTAGATTAACCATCAAAAGCTATGAAATGCATTATGCCGGGAGGGTATGACTAAACTACACATCGACAGGCAAATCGCGCATCGAACAAATTAATATTAATTTTAGATGACTAAAATTTATATACCTTTATGTCATACTTTTTAAATATAAAATAAATGATACCCATATAAATTATTTTTCTTCCTTCTTCTAAGCTCAGCTAAACGTTTGTATTATAACATCTCGGTAAATTATCGACATTTAGTTATATTCCTACATAAATTTCTATCTTCTTATATTGTTTATGCATCGTTCTATACTAACATATTAAAAAAAATTATATTATAATAAATGTCAATATTCTAAACGAACATCGAGAAATTTATGTCCTAGACCATTATGCAATAATCGCCGAGTCCAAGTACTGCTCGTTCCAATTCCTTTTCATAGCAATATAACCCGAAATGTTAGTTGTTAAAGAATGCAAGGAAGCAACTTTTTTTATCATTTTCTTTAGCACATTATTCAATGATTCACTGTTGTTATTTATATGTGCTTGTGTTATATTACTCTTTAGAGACTTGTATACGTATGCATAGAACTTATTTTTAAAACTCAAACATATTCTTTAAAAAATTTACCATATTTATTAACTTTCCTAATATCATCAATGGTAAAATATTATTCCATTTTCACCAAAAATCATATTAACTATATTTTCTCTTAATCTGATAGGATTTCCTTGATTATTTTTCAAAGAAATTGAAAAAAATTTTCCTCATGTGAAGAGTACATAATAAATGTACTAAATTATTAAAAATTTTATAGGATCCAAAAATAATACTATCCACAATAATTGATGCTTTTTAAAAAAAAACTAACTCAGAAAAATATATTATACATCCGATAAATCTGAATTACCATGTATAAAGATATTGGTCCAAAAAATAATGTACCTGTTTTATAAATAGAAGTATGCTAAAACACAGTAGGCCTTGACGAAGAGTTCGCTTAAATTATAAGTTTTATCAACGCTAAGGTTACTTCGTTGTTTGCCAGTACAACAAAATTTTATATATATCGAGCATTAAACGCGTATAAAGGCACTATAGCTACAACTTTATCAGGTCGTATACATATATTTTTCACTATCGGATAATCATTTATATTGTTTAAAACTATCAAAACCTTGCTATTTATAATCGGTTTCATTTTTTGTGTACTTCATTGTATTTTATGCTTCTTATTTGCTTTATATTTCTAAGTATATTATATATATATATATATTTTGTAAGTAGAAATTTCATGTACACTTATCTAAAATATCCTATATTTTAAATTTCTTTATAATACCCGGAGAAGTAAGAGTATATGTGGTGTTCACATTTCCTATTCCCATGCTTAAACTGGATATATATCCCTTTATATTCCACTACGAAAGTAGATGTTTCAACATGCAGTATCTCCAAATATGATACTTTTTTAAAAATATTTTAACAATTTAGGTTACATTTGTTGTATGATACAACTTACATTATGTATTTTAAGTGGTGTTTTCAATTACATTTACGTTTAATATTACTTTTTTGACAAATGTTTCACTTAAGGCGAAAAGAAGATATATTTAGCTTGTAATAATATATTAAAGGTTGTTAATTGTATAACGTGATTGGAAACAATTGATTTACGATATATAAAAACCATCTTAGATTATAATTTGACATTAGTAATACTTTACTTTACAAAATTTGTTATTTAATAAACGAATTTATTTCCATACCAATATTCTTTCAATAGGATTCTTAATAAAATTGAATTGAAATATATATTCTTTCAATAACATTATAATCAATAGTATGTAATCTTCTTATCCTGTAAAAATCTTAGCCGATGATATATAGACTAGAGGTGTGCATCGGGCGGGGTTTCGGCCAGCCAGCCTAATTCCGCCCATCTAAATAGGCGGACAGCGGGATAAAAATTTCTAAGAACGGGCAACGGGTCAAAAAATTTAAACTATGGGCGGTTTAAGAAATTTAAACAATGAGCGGGAGGGTTAAAAAAATTTTTAAATCATTTAAGTAAATATTAATAAAAAATTGTTTATGAACCTTTTTTGGAATATTAAAAATTAAAATGTCCTAATTTGATATCATAATAACTTTTTTCTTAAAATAAATTAACTTTTTTTGTATATTTAAAACTTACTTTGGTGCAAGCGACAAGAAAGTGATTTGCCAAAGCTATCAAGATTAGCAAGGAAAATATTGGTAATTCCTGCAACTAGTGCTTCTTATTAGAACAAAGAACATGTTTGAATACAGAGAATGTAGATACATTATTATTTTTGCACTAGAATTACATATAATATCAATTTTATATTTATATTATTTTTTCATAAATATTTTATTTGATTAAATAAATTATCCATAATTTAAATTGAATATTTTTTTTTATGCTTATATATAGTAATTTCCTAAATTATAAAACATTTTGTGGAGGTGTAATCTTGAAATTTTTTTTTATTAGATGCTTAAAAAAAATGAAAGAATGGCCATCATTAAATTTTATAATAGCGGGCTTGGGATAAGAATTTTTTTATAAATAATGGGTGGGTGGGTAAAAAATTTAAGACTAATGGGCGGGTGGGTATATTTTTTTGAAATACTATGGGCGGGCTGGGGAGGGGGCCAAATGCAGACCTATAATATGGACCCTCTCTAAATCAAAATAACGATTACTACAACTCGTTCATTTTACCTATGCCCTACAATCATTCTGGAAGCAATTTAAAGCAGCTTTTATTCATTTTTATAAATTATTAGTATAGAAATTTTTTTTTAATACCTTGTGGTATAGATTCTAGGATATTATCTGGTTTCAATAACATGTTCAATAGTTCTGCAATGTAAATGCTTTACAATGATTTTTAGTATATATATCATATCCAAAGCATCATTTTAGGATTGAAGATTGTTCAGATATTTCAAGGGAGGAATCTAAGGAAAGAATAGATGTAGATTTAATAGTAACTGATTATATACCAGTAATTTTAATTGAACAATTTGTGAATTATATAGATATTGTTCCAATGTATCTATATAAATTGGATTTAACAGCTAAAACGAAGATTAAATGCCAATGGATATACAATGCCACCAAGATTTAGTATTCATAAAAGAATAATACATTCCAAACCTGTAAAAAAATAAAGATTTAATAGGTTTTACTACTAATATATCTGATATCCTTCCTAGATCTTCACATAAGATAAAATATTTAAGTAAGTCCTCTGATGATATGAGATACCTTTAACACATGATACTTTGGAAATGATATATACTAAAAATCATTGTAAAGGATTTACATACATAGAACTATTGAACATGTTGTCGAAACTAGTTAATATCCTAGAATCTATACCATAAAGTATTAAAAATAATAATAACTATTTAAAAATGAATAAAACTGCTTTAAAAAGTTACTTTCCAGATGATTAGGTAAAAAAAAGAGGAGTTTTAGTAATCGTTATTTTGATTTAGAGAAGGTCCATATATCCTTATCGGCAAGATTTTTATAGGAATAAGATAGATTAATTATGATAATAAATGTAACCTAAATTGAATGTTGTTTGTTTAAGTCAATAAAGCTTTAGAAGAAAGGAAAGAAATTTCTATGGTATAATTCATTTCCTATTTTAAAAGTATATGTCATAAGAAGCCTCTTATCAAAAAATCATAAGGAATTTAAAAGGATGCAAGCAGATGATATTTAATCCTAAACAACTACAATATTTAATTTTGTATTTTTGATAAGTATAATATGTAAATATTTAAATTAATTATTTATAATTTGAATATATTAAAATTGTAAATACTTATTTTAGGATTGTTTGGTCAGGGTCACACAGTCAATTTTAATATTAAAATTAGAACAAATTCAAATGCAATTTATTTTTATTTATTTTTCGCAACAAAATATATTATATTAAGATAATAGACTAAACTATAAATTTAGTATCGTAGCAAAATTTTATCTTGTTGTAATAAATACTTTTTGAAGAAGTGGAAAAACACTTTCCAATAGGATGTTAATGTTTAAATTTGGTTTTGTTTTTCAGGGAAATATAGTATAGTATTAACGTGGCGGGTTAAGATAGTTGAAAATCTAATTTGAATAACTAGATCGATTATAGCAATTTAGTCATTTTAATTTAACAGTTTAGTTATTTAATTTAACATTAATTACGGCAATTTCCTATCCTTATTTTGCTTCGATGACTAGTTTATCTATCTAAATTTAACATCTATATTCCGAATGCGTAGTTTAGTCATCTAAAATTAACATTAATTTGCTCGACGGGTAGTTTAGCCATCTCGATGGAAAATATACCTTTCGACGCGTAGCTAAGCCATACCCCATTATGCCCCTTATTTCCAAAACTTTTATAGAGAGGGGAAAAAAAATTGTAATTTTAACCATTTGTGAACTATTATCAAGTTCCTAATTCAAAGGATAAATTGGAAATGTCTAAAAAAAACGATAATAACCAAATGTTGAATAGAAGAAGATAAACAAAAAAAAAGAAAAGTAATCTTTTTACCTATGTTCAAATAATCTTATTACAGGATATCCAAACTAATATAATGCGGAGGGAATAATTATTGACAGCACTTAAGTGATTTAATTTCTTACGCGAGAAACAGGTGAGGATTATAAAGATTCATCATTTTTCAACAACATTAGGAACCGAGGAGAGTAAACCTGGATACGGAGGGAAAAAAATGTTTAATCTAAAATCATCCCTGAGTAATTAACTCCTAATGAGACGATAGTTATTCGACCTTTTAGAATTTTAAGTTCGAAATTGATTGGCGTCAATGTTAATAGTTATCGAAAAAATTGAGTCTAGTTCTTAGTTTTATTCTATGTCCAAAATTAGGAGTTTTTTTCAAGCGTTACTATTGTTAAATAATAATGTATAATCTTTCATCTTTATATATTACCAAAAAATCGATTAGGTAGAGTTTAAAAAAAAATTATACATTCATTATAATTTCATAGATTACTAACCATTTGTGAAATGCCCCTCATTGAATTCCAATTCCCGTTCAACTTCCATATTGGATATCTGATTGGAAGTCGCCCTGGAATGTATCAGAAGCTGGTTCGAATCGTTAAGATTTTCTCCTTCGGATCTAGGGTTGGCGGAATCATTAGATGTCACCCCTCCTTGAATTTCGATTTCGGTCGACTGGATATGTTCCATGAGTATTTGAGTTCCCAATTCGGCCATCTTGAGTTGCTGATGGGAATAATTATTGTTATCGCCCCCCATAGCATGGTTGTCGGTTAAAATGTCGAAATTATCCGAGTCGTTATCGTCCCCTTTATAGGAATTCAAAAGTTTGGTGAGAATCAAATTATCTTTGCTTTCGCAAGTCACATTATCTTCTACAATATTTGAGCGGTTCGATTTGTAAGGCATGATGAACACGTTAGGTTGAGTCGGAGAAATGTTGATTCGGTCCCTGAATAAGCCCAAATCCTTGGACCCTATTAAATTGCTGGTGTAGGTGTTTAAGGCGTTTAAGGTCATCATATTCTGATCAAGTCCTGGGGAATTGGAAGATTTGTTTAGGAGTTCGGAGGCTAAATTTTGGAAATTCAACTTGGTAGATTGCATGGATTTTTCGGCCGCCTTCATGCTCTAATATTTGATTGTACATTTTGATATTTATAATCTAGTATAAATCAGCCCCCCTTAAAAAGCTAAAGCTAAGATTTTTATAAGTCGGGCTAATAAACAATGATGTCGCTAACATCTTTACCTTAAGCGTGCCGAATTGGAGGGTGGGTGGGGGGGAGCAAATCATTATTCCCCAATTTCATCTTAAATTTTGTGTTATTATGGCAAAGCACCTTTTAAGTAATTTAGACTTTATCCAGACAATATGGCAAGATTTATCGTATGAAACATAAAAGATTTTACAAATATAAATAGAAAAAGCATTTAAAAAGTCGATGCAACTAATTTTATTAGAACCAAATATTTGGTTTTATTTACGGGAAATCAAAAGTATCTGATACCTTCAGCTAAATTGTTAAACTTATAATATACGAATATATTAACACATTACACTTAATGTTTAAACGCAAAATAATCTTATTCAAAACATATACATTTTCCCTCTTGTAAAAACGGCGGACTGCATCGTTTTACATTCTCTAATATTAAAAAAAAATACATAAATTTAGGCATGCAAAAGTAGGAATTCAAAGGCATTCTAGGAGTGCTCTGATAGATCCCTAGCAAAACCACTGATCCATGTTACAGGTTAAAAATAAAAATTTAATCCATAAATGAGACATTCTGTTTAAGTGTCAAACCCAATTTGCTTACCCATCATGACAGAGTAATGAAAATATTTAGAAAACATATAATAAGAAGGGAAAAATAAAACTTACATCTCTGTATTTAGATAAATATAATTTGAGTGGCTCAATGTATGGATCGAACCCCAAAACGCCCATGGCGTAAATAATATCGTCGCCATTTATCGTCTTGCGTCTTTCAAGTTGGCATTTGTCGCTAGCTCTATAATTATTATATGATTTTATCAAATAGATTATCTTAAACTTATTAATCAGGGACCGGGAAAGGAAAATTCTGGAACTTCGAATAAATTATGGAACAAGGATGGAAATGGAACATTATATTCCAGAATATTCCTTATAATTAATTAAATATAATATTATAAATAATGTCTAATTATGAATAATAATAAAATTGAAAAAAGAACCATAAATCATAATTGCAAACATAAAGGAATAAAAAAAATAAAAATTAAATCCATCTAAGCTCAGCGTGCCATATCCAAAATTCTTATGGGGGGAAGGGGGGATGCACTATTAAGTGAGTTTTCTCTTCCAAGATTTTATTGGGTAGGTTCACTTTTTTAACAGACCCTTGGCTATGATTATACTTTATAATTTTCGGGATTTCACTTATTTTTTCTTTCAGATTATTTTTTTTTATAAAGTGATATTATTGTATACATAGGAGAGAAGGGGGTTGTGATGTTAAAAGCCAGAAATAACCTAAATAACATTATGCAAATCAAAAGATAAAGCTGGCTGAACTGCTTGGACATCTTATTTGCCAAATCTCAATGCCTACTTACTACGTTATATTATTTTAGCTAAAATCTTAATAGACCCAAATCGGGATTAACACTAGGAAGGGAGCAGGCAAATTTCCGTTCATAATTAATCATTTTCATGTCACATAAAATAACAATACTAAGTAAGAAAATCAAACAGCAAATATAAAGGATTAGGAAAAACTGACTTTTGGATAGCCTTCATGAATTTTACTTTAGCCAAACTTTCTGGCAACCCTTCAATACTCTGGTGGAAAAAAAAAGTAACGCAAATGCTCTAGTGGAGTTTAATAGACCCAAATTTTGAATGAATATATTTCCCATTTATATTGATTTAGATACAAGATATAGAACTAGTCTTAACCCTTATAAAATATTTATTTATTTTAAAATTCTGGGAATAATTATAACTTGTGCCAAAAATTTTAACCCTAAATTATAAGTACAAAAAAAAATATTATAAGATATTAAAACCAATATATTTCATTAAATTTATTATTTATTCATCTAAATACCTAAAAAAAATTCCTATCTTTAACTAAGGTTTTAAAGAAAACTTAAATTTTTCTCTAACTGGGTTTTACCAATGCTAATTATTAAGAAATGTTTAAATCTTGAAAAATACTAACAAAAATAAATGAAATTTGGAATATATATTCAAAGATATATTTAATGAAGCTACTAAAGATTCTAGATCATAATTGAAATGTATTATTATAAGTAATTCTTGAAATATATTTTTATTTTATTTGTTATCAATTCACATTTTCTTTTACTATTCAAATTCATATAATAAATATAATAATGAAAATAAATAGTTGTTTGACCCACTGAATAATATTCATTTGTTGTATTATTAATAAAATTAACTATTTCTTTTCTACAGACTCAAGCAATGTGCTTAATTTTGTTGTATTTTTAACAAGTGGTATTCTTGAAAAGACAATTTTCCCTTCTATGGTTCCCACTGCAGGAGTGGCAGGGATTTGGTTTTTTGTAGCTTGTATTATAATTATTATATAATTTTGATTGCTTATTATTATTAACTTTGTAAATTATATTTATATCATATTCCTTTTCTAACTGATCAATTTTAGTTTCATCATTTTTATTAATTTTGTATTCTTTATAGCTGTTTCTACTGCAGTAGCTATTTGAATAGCTTTATTTATGTCTATATCATCCTCGGATAGTAAAATTTTTGAATTTTTTTATTCGGAATATGAATTTATCTTTTAATGCATTATCTAAATATTCCCTAAATTCACGAGTCGTAGCTAATTATTGAAGATTTTTATAGCTTAATAATTTTTCCTCATTTTTTTTGATTATATTGATAAAAATATCTTAGTTTGGGAATTTCTAATACCTCTTGGTTTCTTAGACTATCAGTGGCATATCAGTATTTTATAAGTATCACATCCTATTGTTGTTAATAACAGCAATTTTTCTTATGATGATGTTAAACTTAGTTGTGTGTTTTAAATTCTTTAAATAAGTGGTACCAATCTCTGTAACACAGGTTTGAATCCGTTAAACTTTTTATTGACTGCACCATTCTTGAAAAGTGCTATTAGTAGTAATTCTAGATATATATTTTTATTTTATTTATTATCAAATTGTATTTTCTTTCAAATTCATATAATAAACAAAATAAACATTTTATAAAAAATACAAAATTTAATACATAACAATAATAATTAACCTCTTTTATGTAATATCAATTCTAGCATACCTAGGATCCTATAGATCTCAATGGAGTATATGAAGGGTTAAGAAAATTTTTAATTAATATAATTACAGTTTGAGAATTTGGAAAGATTTTTGTATGCACAAAAATAAAAAAATTTGGTTTTAAAAGATTTAAAGTTTCAAGTAAAATTTGATCAAAAATTCTGCTTAAACATTTTTGAATTCATTTTTACTTTGAAGATTTTTTATTTTGAATAACATTTCAAATGCTGACCATTTTAATTAAATATGTTATTTTTTAATTTTTTTCATAAGCTATTTTATCAGCAATTTATTGAAATTTGGATTTAGATAAAAATTTGCTTATATTTACTAAAATAAAATTATGAAAAATATTTTTGGTTTTAAAAATTAAAGGGCAATAATCTCTAATTATTATACAGAAATTGAAGTATGATTAATAATGAAATAAGAAAATGTTTATATAATTCAAAACATAAATAAATTATTACTCGCTTGTAATGAAACTTAAAAATTCTGAAACACATTCTTGTATACATTCCTTAGCATCTTTAGCAATCTATATATTTTTTTAAATATTTCCATAGTCTAGTATTTACTTTTCCAGAAGGAGGTATTGACTTTTTCATGATCCTAGCTATATTAGCAATTGGCAAAAATCTATCCTTCATATAAATGTATTAAAATATTATTGTTATTAAATAACTTGTTCTCTTAATGGCTCATTTTTATCATTTGACGATATTTTTACTAATTTTTAAATTTATGGTTTGTTAAATATATATAAAGTATACTTTCTGAAGGACTATAGCTAGTCTCCTGTGAAGAAAACCCATCATTTATTTGATTATATTTACCAGTATAATCCATCTCCTGCAATAATTAAATTTACTGATATTATACATGTTAGTATAAAAATTTATGATTATATCATAATCAATTAAATTATAGCAGAAATACATCTAAAAAACTTAGTATCTGAAAAAAATAAAAATGTTTAATAAATTTTAAAATGATGTAAAGCATTTCACAATAACACACTAATACAATTGGTGAAATTTAACCACTCAAAATTAATTATTTATTCAGCCCTTACCGTATTTGTTGTCTTTCAAGAATTGTATGCTTGGTCTATCCTTGAGAAATAGAAGAACTACTTTTATTTTAATAAATTGTAATAAAAACATTACTTATTCTGTGATTACATATAAATTCAGTTAGGCAAATAGTATAAAATAAATATAATTATCTCTTTAAAAAAAATGTTATGTTTGTTTAAAATATTATTTGTTGTTAGAAACGCTTGCATAGGCATAGCTAGAATTTTCCTGGGGATGGGATGGGGGAAGCACTATAAGTGGTCCTTCCCATAAATATTTTTGTAGATCTTTTAGGCCTTCGAGTTTGTTAAATTTATAATTCAAGATTTTCACTTTTTTTAAATAAAAAATGCCCTTTTTCTAAATATTTTAAACTATAGTCGTAAATTATTAACATTTATTATTTTTTCTTTCAAACTTTTGTTTCTAATAATAATATTTTAAAAATATTAATGAGAAGATGCATCCGAAGTGGGGATTTCTCCTTGATCTTCCCTGGCTATTCCTATAAATTCCTGTATCTTATCTCGTAGATGTTAGCTTTAGGCTGCAAACAGATTTAGACATAAATTTCCAAAAAAGTTACTAAATTACTCTCATTGGGGCTATATAAGGCTGGGAAGCAGGCCAACTGACCAGGTGAAAATATATTAAATAGGGATATGGCGGATATTTAAAATAATTTAATTCTGCTAATCTCGAAAGGTTGGAACTTTACTAAAAATGAGGATTTATTCAATAAATTAGAAGGTTTATTCGAAAATGCGATCATTATATTGAAGAATACTTAATAGTTTTTCGTAAAAATGTAAAAGATTCTTATTAGTATTTGAAAAGATAAGATTTATTTTATTTTAAAAATAATTCAACACAGTTTTTCTTAAAGTAATTACAATATATATATTATAGATGAATAAAGGTCAAATAAAATGTAAAATGAAAAGTAAAGATTAGTCAAATTTGAATAGCTGTAAAATGTTTCTTACAAAATAAGAATATTATAATGAAGATAATTTAATAAGTTCGTGATATAAAATTTAAACATATTACTATTTAATAACCAAATATATAATATTTTAATTTATTAATATTCCTATTATATAACAGTTTTTAATTTTTTTTGATGATAATAGAATAATCTAATGCTTCGAACTGTTATCCTCGATATTCATCTTGAACTTAAGGTTAGGTGTTCACAAAGAGAATAGGACTACTAATGCATACTAATGTCTTTTCATAGATTTTTCTACTTTATGGTAAAAACCAAAATAAAAAATACACTAATCGAGCGAATATTTATTGTAATTTATGTGAAAAAATTTATTGCTTTTTGCAAGAAAAAACAAACCAGAGTCAAAGAGAAATAATATAAATTATATATTTCTATAATCATTTTTGTTTATTTGTATACCTATTTTTATACAATCTAAGTGATCAAATAATATAAATGATGTTACAAATTTTCAAAATTTAAATAAAAATTATCGAGTAGTCCTCCAGTTGTACTAAAAATATTTGCCTCTTTCAAGATTCTGAATTAGGTACTTCGTATTTTTTTATAGTGTGGTAGACATCCAAAGAGGATGATAAGTTTAAGTAAAAATAAATACTATAAATTATAGACAAAAATAACTAGTAAAAAGAGTCTAATTTATTAAACTATATTTTTATGGTTAATTAAATTTTAAATCATTCATTTATAAATAATATTTTGGTACAGTTTAAATTTATTAGTCAATTATCACCATATAATGTTTGTTACTTATTTCTAGAAGTTTTAATGAGATTTTGTGGTAGGTTAAAATGATGGCTGGCTGAACAATCTAAAATGCTAACTAAAAATAAAATCTCCGAATTTGGTACTTTCTAACTGTCTATATGGTGCTTTAATCAGTATAAAGAAAAAATTAATATCAATAAATAATTTTAATGCGTTTTTTTTATATTTTAGTACTTCAAGCAATTTAATCAATATTTTAAAGTAGCACACATTATTGGCAAGATAAAAAAAAAAAATCCCCCAACTTGACATAATATCATAATCAAAATTATATATGCACTGAATAACTGATCGGGCTAATATAATGCAGTACTTCACAGGGCCGTAGCAACGGTTGGCCCCCAAACCCGGCCCCCAGAAAATATCTTTGGCCCCCAATAATCGTCCCCATAAATTTTTCCAGCCCCCTAAATTTAAAATTTTTTTTTATAATATATTATTTATATATTTTTAAAATAAATTTTAAATATTTATTGGAAAAACCTGTCTAGTCTTTCTATCCTGTTTTATTTTTTCCAATAAAAATCATCATTCATTCATATTTTATCATTTTCATGTGTGTTTGTGTATGACATTATATAGACGCTTAATCACGTTAAAATTGTACTTATTTTGTTAATTATTTTATTTATTATGGTTCACTCACAATATTATTATAATAATATAACCAATTATTTAAAACAGCGGTGAATATTTAAGAATTATGAAGAAAATACTGAGATAACAACAATTTTGGTAGCCAATAAATTAACCGTAATAAGGTTACGTTTAATCACAGGTGATCCAAAAGTATGCTTTTACCCTCGAAAAGAATATCAATTGAAATTTGTCTATCTAACTGCATATCCATACATGGATCACTAAGCCCCGCCGACCATGCCTAAATATATTATTATAAATTATTTTTTTAATTTTTTCTCTTCTTTTAATAATATATTTTTATATTGAATATAGGTATAGTGTGTTAATTATAATTTTAATATTCTTTTAAATAGTATTTTCATCATTGTTTTGTTTTATTTTTCTAACTGTACATTGAAGTTTTATTAAAAATAAAAGTGATAAATCTTTACTATCTTAAATCAATATTTGATTTGAGCCTATTTCTTACCATACAGAAGCTACCTTTTCGTGGTTGGTTCAACAAAAAGATGAAAATATAATTTATTCTTCTGGACTATTTATAACAATGTTTTCTTACACCATTCAAAAAGATCCTGAATTAAATAAAATTTTGAAATTTATACCCAAAAATGCCCAATATACACACCCCTGATTCAAAATATTTATTATGGCAGATATGGTGCTTGAATATATTATAGATAAATATAACAAAAGTGAGATGACTTTTATTTGTCTTAAGACTGATGAGAGTGAGACAATAGATCCATAAGGTTTTGAAAATCTGAGCATAATTATTCTCTATATTTTTTCAAGAGAAGTCCAAGAAAATTTAATAGGAGTTATTAATTTACAGTGACTTTATGCTGAAAGCATCACTACTTGCATTTTAAAGCAACTTAATATATTAAAACATGCATATGAGGGGCAAATGTTATGTCTGACCTAAATGAAGGAATGCAAACCCTACTTTAAAAAAAAATTAACTAAAAAGTTTATTTTGCACATTGCTACAACACATGTTGCAACTTGTGGTTCAAAATTGGTATAATAATATTGTTATGATTTATAGATTTAACCAATGCGTTATATAAATTTTTAGGCGCTGTATCCTGTAAATATTCAGACCATACTCTTAAGAAACCTTTAGATAGACTGGTCATGAAGCATCTCGTATCATTTGTGAGAATTTTGAGGATATTAGTGAAGTATTATTTTCCTTTTCTAATAGAACTCTTAATTCAGAGGTTTCCACTCATGATTCAGTCAGTCAAAGCCTCTGGTCTTTATCTCAATGCATTAATATAAATTACGTTATATTAGCCATCATAATTTATGAGATAAAATAACATTAGCCACTAAATAAGTATCTACTAGGTACTAATATAGTGGATGCTAAAAATTGTATTGATTCCACTATCAATATAATAAAAAATAAAAAAGTGATAATTCTTTTGATTTGATAGAATTAAGGCCGAAAAACTTTTAGCAAAATTTAATCTCACTCCCCCACAAATCACCAAGAGTAGGTAAAACGCCTTAAATTTCCAGATTTTTTAGTAGTGACCAAATTACAATTTGATTGTGAAAAAGACTCCAATTATAGTTCTTTAAAAATGAATTATTATTAAATTATTGATTACTTTATGTTGATCGTTTTTTAGATAGATTTACACAAGATGACTATAATATTCTATCATGTTTTAATACATTGTCCCCCTTTGACCCTTATTATTTTATATTGGAATGGCCCGATTAGAATCATTATTTAACTTAATTATGGAAACATTACATCATGAAATGAAAATAGCTAAAGGATTATTAGCTGCAGAAGTTAGAGAAACATATAATTTTGATATCCTAAATATTATGTATAGAAAAAATATCATCGTACGTTTAAAGAATTGTATAAATGCTACTCAGCCTCCATCATCATTAGGGTACAAACGGTTTCTTTAGTGGACTCTTTCTCTACAAAAAGAGTTCTATCGAACACTAGTCGATGAAAGATCTACGTAAGCAAAATTTAGTATTGTTGGCTTATGAAAAAATATAACACAAAATTTATCCTTTAAATTTATGTTAAAATTTAAAAATAGAATAATATTATTGTATATTTTGTATTCATATTACATTAATAAATTTTTTAATAAAAATAGCAAAATATTACTATGAATGCTAAATTATTTATTTTATTTTTTTTTAAATAGTGACCCCCTCAAGTAAGCAGTTGCCCCCCCCCCTAGCTGAAAGTTTCTGTCTACGGCCTGGTGATTCATCAATCGGTTTTCCCAGTTTATAAATAGATATCAGTCATAAGCTATATAAAAAATATAAATCCACGCCTTAGGCTATGTCTTAATATTGGATTTTTAATCGTGATTAAAAATTTAATTACATCTACCCCGATTCAACTTTGACCCCATGATTTTATGATCTTCTTAGATATTAATATTATAT